TAATTACGCGATGCGTAGTTATGCACATGGGGAGCTGAGTGACAAGACGTTTTTTGGGCAAGCTTCCGCTTCTTACTGTGTTCGAATGGACCCAGTGAGGCGAGGACCACATCGGCTTCGCCCTTTACCCACTAAAGCGAAGGCCTTAAAGGGCGAAGCTTATACGACATAGAACGTTGGTTACGTACTGTAACCCCAGATTCTATGAGTATAAGCGTAGCCCTTTAAGCGTCGGGCCTCACTGGCTCCTAAATGGCTGAAGAAAAAGCTATTTTGGGAGCCGATTTCCCGCTCTTAACGTAATTTATACGGACCGGGCGGGGCCCACACAGCAGGTGGGCGTGGACTAATTTTTTCAGTGCTTATGCTCTGCATAACGGGATAAACCCACTAAAGCGAAGGCCTTAAAGGGCTACGCTTATACTCATAGAATCTGGGGTTACAGTACGTAACCAACGTTTTCTAATATTGTCCAAAATTAAAGACACGTGAAACAAAATTTAACTGCAGATAAAGGAGACAACGAGAAACTGATTTGGGGTTAAATTATTGAATATGCATGAAACAAAAAATATTTTGTCTGTGCAGATACCACGTGTTTTCTCTCGCTACTGCATTCTCTTCATCCATATTTTAGGTTCCCATGGAGTGTACGCCACATTAATCCCAGCTGATGTATGTCTGTGCGCTCCCTCATTACAAGAACTCTGTAGCTGTGATTGTGACTCTACACAGAGTTACGGTACCCCATCACATACCACATACTGCTTGTTCTTCCCTTCTGAATGGACTACTTTTCAAATTTCACAATACATTTGAAAACAAAAATGTCTGTGTATCTTCAGCCCAGTCTCCTCAGAAAACATTACTTAAAAAAAATCTCCAAAAATTATAAATATTATTCCAGAAATGGTGAGATGGCAAAGAATTCACATGGTGCTGTTTCATATGGAGCAGCACAATAGTGACAAAGTAACATCCTCAAGCCCCACATTTCAAAATCTATATAGATTAACTCTAACCAACTAACTCTAATTATATCACATATTTTACCTAAAGTCAAAGTTGCTTTATTTGTCATTCGCACCACATGTGGGACATGTGGTGGAACAAAATTGTGTACACAGGGTCCCATTTACATCCATCAAAAGTATAAATTGTAAAGAAAAACAGTAATAAGATCTAAGATACGAACTATGCTAAACTAAGAATACACTAAACACAAAAACAATACGCCGAACAACAGCAGCACAAACATGAGTCTGTGTAAACCAGGTAAAGGTCAAGACAAAGAAAAATAAAACATGAAAAAGCAGAAAGAAACATCTTCATCTTCTACCGCTTATCCATAGTGGGGTCACGAAAGCGACAGGTCCAGGAGAGAAACCCAGACCTCCCTCCCACAAATGACACTTTCCAGTTCCTCCTGGGGGACTCTGAGTCATTCACAGGCCAGAGAGGGTACACAATCCCTCAAGATAGTTCTGGGTCTGCCCCGGGGCCTCTTACCAGTGGGACATGCCCAGAAAACCTCCAAAGGGAGGCGTCCAGGAGGCATCCAAATCAGATGAACCACTTCAGCTGACTCTTTTTGATGCGAAGGAGCAGCTAATCTACTCTGAGCTCCATCTGGATGATGAAGCTCCTCACCCTACCTCTAAGGCTGAGCTGGAGTTTTATCTTGTTCTTTCATGATCCAAAACTTATGACCACCATAGGTGCGGGTTGGAGCATACAAAGACCAGTAAATTTGATGTTTTGACTTTTGCCTCAATTCTTTTTCACCATCACTGACAGAATCAGCGCTCTCATTACTGAGGATGAAGCCTTGATCTGTCGATCCATCTCTTTCTCCATCCTAACATCATTCAGGAACAAGACTCAGGAACTAACCCTAACCCAGATACTTAAACTCCACGTAAGTCAAAGTCACAGTCCAAATCAGCAGCGTTGAACATAACTGTGATGTCAGAGGTCGCTGTAATATAACAAGACTCTGACCATGTATTTTATCCATTGTTGTACTGGGATCAATAAACTAATCACATAGCAAAACTCAAACTCTTACTGCTTTTGGACAAGTCACCATTGTCATCCATCCTCAGCCTGATGCCTCCTTATCTACGTATTTTCTAAGATGTCACAAAGACAGTATAGTCACAGCCCACGTTCCCAGGGCTTCATTTCTTTCAGTCCTCTCAGTTCACACTGAACAAGGAAAAATGTTTTTTTTCTTGTTCTGCTCCATCTTCCTGGAATACACTGTAGCAGGATACGAAACTGTCTAGTTTGATCACTTTGGGACTTTTTAAACATAATTTAAAGAAAATTGAGAAATTATAATTTCAGACCTGTTCTTCTTTTCAGGTTTTGTTAAACTGTGCTTCAAACTGTGTAATTTTTTTTTATGATTGTTGTATTAGTTTATAATTGAAATTATGTGTTTGTGTTGATGGTTTTGCTTGTAAATGAGACTACTAGTCTCAACTTGTCTGAAAACGTAAATAAATAAAAGTAAATGTATAAATTGTGTAATTTGTAAGCATTTATTGTGAAACTAATGTTTTGTGCTTTTGATTAATATAGCTGTTCCATGTTTGTAATGAAAATGTGTTTACAACATAGACTCCATGCATCTAAACCTGTTGGGAACCCAGAAGTTGAAGCCGGACTGAGACTAAGTTTCCAGTAATACAAATACAAGTTTTAAGACCCCTCACCCCACCCATCTCTTCACTCCACGTGAACTATGAACAAAACATTGACCTCGATAAAATCAACTCAAGATTTTTTTTTCAGGTATTCACTCCTGTAGATTCAAGTAGTTCTCGCCTTTTTGTTGTATGTTCAAACATTCAATTCTCTACCATGTTTGGCTGTAATAAGTTATTTCAGGTTTAATGGAATGTCATATAACTCCATGACTGTGTACAGTACAGCAGGTAGGTCATTTAGTGTGCAGACTTCAGTCCCAAAACTAGGGCTGCAATAGCTCAGTGGTTAAATGCCATAGCCCTGCATTCCAGAGGCTGCTGGTTTGAGACCAGGTTGCATCAGGAATGGCATCCAGCATACAATAATTGCCAAATCTTTTATTAGTGACAATGCATACAGAATGGAGCAGCCATATAACAACCTCTTTAGTTTCAAAACTGCAAAATGGCAGCTCCCATGGCTAATGATTTTTCATCTCTAGATAAAAAAGTAAAACACCCAACTAAAAAAGTTAGTGCATAAATTTATTTTGAAAATAAGTCATTGGTTATTTCTTCAGCTCACCACATTCTGGATAAAAAAAAAAAAAAAAAAATCACCTAATAACGCTACTACATTCCTTACTGGGTTGACTAATCTTTAAAGTTAGATGCAAAATTCAAAAATACTCAAAACAAATTTACAACAAAATATTGTTTATGAGAAAATCTGTTGCCATAAAATGAAACTACATCTAAATTCTGCTACACAGCAAATTTGGAAAGATGATTTTAGACACCATGTTGAAGGTAAGATGTCCCACATCTTTAGTGTCAAAACCTTGAATTCCTGTTATACAAACTCAAAATAAAGCAAACTTCTTGATTAAATATTTAACAAAAGCGTAATCTGGAGTTGTATTATTAGAAATAACACATCTGACATTTAAAAATAAAGTTATTGTTTGAGCTTTATTTTAGGTCTAAAACTACAACAAAACATTGCACAGTTATTTAAATTTTGTAATTAATCAGAACATTTGGTTGTCTCTTTCTTAGAATGTGATAACTCCATCCCAGGGGATATTCCAGGTAGGCATACTTTGCAGCCAATGAACATGAGGAATGCTCTTCGAAAACAACTATTAAAGAAAACATACAAAAAGGGATTTAGCGATGAGTTGATGTATCCTAACCACAAGAAAACATCCCAGATTTCCACCTCTGTGCTGTAATTGATGAACGGATCCACAATGTTGACTGTAAAAAAGGGCATCCAGAAGATAAGAAAAACTCCCATTATAATTCCTAAAGTTTTTGCCGCTTTTCCTTCCCTTTTCATAGTGTTGCGATGTCGTTTCTTCTTGCTTGAGTCTTTGCCAACTCCAGCAGCCATTTGGCTTTCCATGGCACTGATTTGCTTGGCCTGCCGTTTAGCAGCTTTGAAGATCTTCCAGTAGGCCACAAGCATGACCACCATAGGCAAGTAAAAGGCCACCAAAGAGGCCATTATGGCGTAAATGCGACTGACCAAAAATACACACGTATCTTCAGGAATTTGTATGTCTGTCTCAGCAACGTGAAGGTCTAGCATTATGGGACCAAAAGAAATGAGCATTGGTACAGCCCAACAAATAGCAATGAGCAGAGCCACTCGACAGGGGGACATCTTCAAGGAGTAAACCAAGGGGTTGCAGACTGCATAATAACGGTCAAAGGCAATGCAACTGAGATGGAATATGGAGGCAGTGCAGAGCATCACATCCAGGCTGGAATGAAGCTTACAAAAAAGAGAGCCAAAGTACCAGCATCCTTCCACAGTTCGAATCATACTGTAAGGCATCACCAACAGGCCAACAAGGCAGTCAGCCACGGCAAGAGACATGACAAAAGAATTTGTTGGTGACTGTAGCTGCTTGAAGTAGGCAATGGACAAAACAACCAGGAAGTTGCCCACCACAGTGGAGACTATCCCAGCTGAGAGGAAGGCATACAGAAAACTGCGCAAACCTTGGTTCCGAAACGTAACACAGGATTGAAGTTCAACCTGAAGAGATGTGTTAACATTTACGGTCCATTCCAGGCTGCTGTTCTCCATGTTGTTAGCAGACCTGTCAAAACACAATTAGAAATAAATGAATGTAGTTTCTGGGATGTTTGAGGTACTGGTTACATTACTCAATCATTTATTGGTGATAAAAACAAAGAGGGGGGAAAAAAATCAAATTTGTGTTACACTGACATTTTGCACAAAGGCGAATTACAACAGCATGCACCTAAATCTAAACCATACATTTAAAGCTTGTTAAGGTTGTGTTCACTAAACCACCTGAAGAAGACTACAGGCATGAAAAAACTGTGGTGCTGAAGTTTCTTTATGTAACGTGCCATCTGTTTGCTTGAGAGTTTAGAAATGCAATAGGTTTTTTGTTGCTGTTGTTGTTGTTTTCAACACAGTTGTTGCTATAATAAGATAAAATATAATTATATTCTACACATAATATAATCACTGACAAAAAACATACTCAAAATTTAGCTGATACTTAAAATGTCTGATGGAAAGCAATACTGCATGACTTTCAATGTCCTTGAACTGTGATCTGTTTTAACTTTTTTCAGGAATTTGAGATGCTGATGATAAATTATTCTTAATGTGTTGTAGGGACACATCAAGGTTTTTCTACCATCAATTTTTATTATTTTGATACTTTGAAAGTAAGACTGACTCTCATTCCCAAAGCTGGGCAGTAAGAAACCATGTTACAAAAAAAAAATAAAAAAATCTGTTATTGTAATTAATTGCATACCTGTTATTATGATTTCAACAAAGCTGAAAGGCCCTTTGTATGAAAACCTTTCCATATGACTTTTGAAATATAACATCTGAGCATTAGGTGTATCTTTTCCTAAAAGGGAGGATTCGTTCTGCAGTCTTAGAGTGTGAGAAAGACCCCATTGTTTCTCAAGGACTCTTTTGGTAGAAATTGTTTTTCTAAACAATTTAAATTTCTGAGTTCTCCTGAACACAATTGAATGTTTTGCTGTAAAACTGCTATAAAATAATGCGTATACTTCCTTCCTCAACTCAGTACTCAGTTTAATTATGCATAAGAGATAGTAGATGAAAAAAACTAGTAATCAGAAGTTCCAACTGTTGTTTGCACAAGTTCTAATGAAAATGTTTATGGATGAGTCAAACTGCTTAGACATCTTAATTATCCTGCTGTTATATTGAGTATTTAACAAAGCAGAGTAAATTAGCCATTTATTTTAATATTGTTATTAAAGTTCAAATGAAACAGCAACCTGAAACAAAGGTCTACCCTTTCTGTTTTGATTGAGTCGACCATCAATAGTGTAACGCCCTTTAAGTCAGAGAAAGTTATTCTGACGTTTAGTTAAAGCAGTCTTGGGAAAGCTTTTGAAGAAGAAAGGTCAAGCAATCGGAAATTTATGCCAGAAGATAAGAAGTTCCCGCAGAAAAGAGACAAGTGTTCCAGAGATTTGTCTCGTGTTTCAAGGAAACACCAAAAGGTTCCTTGTCACCAGAAGGAGAAAATGCAGCCCTCTGGGAGCCCATCAACTGACCCCATCGGGAGCCAGATAACTATCGACTCCAGATTTCAGCTGATGTCCAGTGTCGAGGGATATCCCACCTTCGACACTTAACTCATCTCAAGAGAGTCCCTGGTAGCCCTTGGGCGGTTGAACTAGAACTTCAAATCGGAAGGAAGAGCTACTCCTTCTCTCTGCTGGTGCCTGATGCCCAAGATAAGAAGTTGTCCAGTCTAAACAAAATTCATCATTATTAATTTGAATTAAGTTTTCCTAAATTGACAAATCACATCTAGCCAAAACACTTCTTTTAGTTAACTTTATAGATGATAAATCACTCTGCTTTCGAACCTCATAATTCACCATATTAAAGTTTAGAAGATAATTCCATAACCTCTTCTTGTGTTGTCAAATTAAAGCCATTATTCATTATTCAGCTGTATTCATCATTTTGATCACTATTATTTACCAAAATCGATAATAAACTTCACAAAATTGTACTTTGACTCAAAGCGTTTTTATTATATATGACATTTGAATTTAATACGAAAAGAACTCATTAGAGCACGAAAACGTGAGTCTGATTTAATAATTTTCTTGCTTAAGAACCGGAAAGCAAGTGGTGCCCCTTTAGAATAAAATTACTAATAAAAATTAGGGATGCACGGATCCACTTTTTAAAATTCCGATCCGATCCCGATACCTAGAACTGAGAATCCTCCGATACCGATCCAGTTCAGATATCATGATCATCATTGATTTTATATGAGGCTGTAATAATCTCCTCTCAAGTACAATTTTTACAAATATATGCATGCATGTCCAAAAAGGCAACTTGAGGTAAGTTTTATTAATATTGGATAAGTTTTAAAGTTAGAATTAAATTCTGCTAACACAAAACATTTCTTTTTATTCCTAGCTTTAAAGTGGATATAAGTGATTAATTTAAGTGATTGTTTAAAGTTGTTTTATATTTTATAAGGGGCAGATATAAGAATTTTTTCTTCTTTCTGCACTCTTTTCATTGAATGAATTAATTAAATTAAATGTTAAATGGCTTCAAACACCTGCTAAGTTCATGGCATAAATCAACAGACATGTTCCTGTTTTTAGTATTTTACATCACTTTATAATGTAGCTGTTTATGTTTTTAATATATATAATTTTCAAATTATGCTTTTTATGATTGTCTACTGTTGAACTGATAAATATCTCCTGGAGGGTAAACTATATCTTGGCTGCAAGTATCAAACTGTGAAATAACTTTGTTTTCTACAACTGATAGTAGTTGGTCATTAATTATGAAGTATAGCAACTTCTCTGTAAACATTTGAGCTCCGTGGTTTCAGCGACGTCTTCTTCTTGTTCAATCTGAAGCAGGCAGCCTGATTTGGGGCAGCCACGCTCAGTCTGTTCCTCCTCAGAGACGGGCAGACTGAGCGGGGCAGATTGGACGTGGCTGGCCGGTGTCGAGTCGCCTCTTTCGGTTTGACCAAAGAGTAGTGCCCCGCTGAAGCCATGGAGCTCGAATGTCTATCTAAATAGACATTATATAAATCTATAAAAAACTATCTTTATCATGGTTTAATGTAGCGCTATGGCTCTGCAGACATTGCACGATGCTGTCTTGTGGTGTTTTTAGTGTAAAATACTTCCACACAGCGGACATGTTTAGATGAAAAGTTTGTTAGCTGTTAGCCACAGTGCTGCTAACTCAGTCCTCACGTTGTAGCTGGCTGCAAACTATGAACTGGATTTCCTGAATGTGAGGCGGGTCTTATTACTCTGGGCTCATGAGACACGCCGCCGTTCAGGAAATCCATTCCATAGTTTGAAGCCAACTTGCATCATGGATCGGAAATATCGGCAGGAGGATCGGAAAATCCGATACGTAAATTATGCTGGTATCGGAGGCCGATACCGATACTGGATCGGATCTGCCCCATCCCTAATAAAAATTCAACAATCTGAGGATCCTTTCCTCTACAGTGTAGAAACATGCTGCCTGCTATTTATAGGGTGTTCAGTATTTCTCCTCAGTGTGTTAGTTTTAACATTTGTTTGCTTAGATGGTACATTGTATCATGGAATTTGATGAAATTTACTGTGCCAGTAGAATAAGCATGAAGCAGATGTTTCAGCTGAGTTGAATTAAAATTTAATGAACACCACAGGGACTGTGCCATGGTGATGAGAAGTGTCTGGGATAGAAAGAGAAATTATGTTTACTATTCTTGATTATCAGTATCTGTTTTAGATAAATAAATAAATGTGTAATTGAAATCCACACTTCTTTACACTGCAAACGTGATAATTTGATGTAAATGAAATTAGAAAATTGTATTATTCAGAGATTCAAAGAGATTTATTTGTCATACACACCACATGTGGTACATGAGGTGGGATGCAATTATGTACACAGGGTCCCAGTTACAACCAACATAGACACAAATTGTAAAGAAAAATACATTAGCAAGATCTAAGTCATGAATTAAGAATATACTACATTCACTAAACTAAGAATACACAAGACTAAGAATACACTAAGGTCTAAATAGTACAAAAACAATGTGCTAAAACAACAACAGCCCGAACATGAGTCTGTGTCAACCTGGTGGTTCTGCACTTAATGCCCCTCAGCCTTCTGCCTGAGGGGAGCAGGGCAAAAAGTGTGTGTGCTGGGTGTGTGGGGTCCTTCAGCTGAAGCTCACAGCACAATGATACCAATAAGAGCACATCATCCACAAATAGCAGAGATGGAATCATGAGGCTACCAAACCAGACTCCCTCCACCCCATGTCTTCACCAAATAATTTTGTCTATGAAAGTTATGAACAGAATCTGTGACAATGGGCAGCCTTGGCAGAGTCCAACTCCCTCCCTGAATGGATGTGACAAACTGCCAGCAATGTGAACAAAACTCGTGCATGGCTTGTGTAGGGACTGAATGGCCCTTATCAATGGACCCCCAATCCCACACTCATGGAACCTCTCACAGTGCACTTTGAGGAACAATATCAAATGCTTCTTGAAGTCCTCAAAACACATGTAGACTGGATGGGCAAACTCCCATGACCTCTCAAGGACCCTAGTGAGGGCAAAAGCTGGTCCAGTGTTCCACGGCAGGACAGAGTCCACACTGTTGACCATCTAGTTGACATCTTACAACTTCAATGCAAACTTCACTTGATAAAATTGCTCCACTGAAAAAGAAAGTAATCAATCAGAGGAAACTGGCTCCTTGGTTCAATTCTGAGTTACGTACTTTAAAGCAAGCATCTAGAAACCAGGAGAGAAAATGGTGCTCTACTAATGTTGAAGAATTTTATTTAACTTGGAAAGATAGTCTGCTAACATATAAAAAAGCTCTTCGTAACACTAGAACTTTATATTACTCATCTTTAATAGAGAAGAATAAAAACAACTCTAGGTTTCTGTTTAGTACTATTGCTAGACTAATTAAAAGTCCCATTTCTGTAGAACCATGTATCCCTACAGCTATAAGTGGTGATGACTTCATGAGATTATTTATAAATAAAATTA